ACTGATTTGTTTTTAATGGTTGGATTCATGAGTCGATTTAAGCTAGACCACTCTTAAATCGACTCATGAATCTAACAATCAGATTATTATAATTTCCACAAACCCTCATTATGACAATGATTTATTTTTGTTTAATCACTATAAATACGATTATATAAGTTTGGTAAATGATATTTCCGTGAAGAAAACTTTCTTATCTGACTTTTCTTCACTTCCTCAACCAAACAACTTGTTTGTTTTCATAATTGTTGTTTTTATTTTCAACCACTAGTGTAATTGATTGGTTATACTTTGTAAATTCGTAACAGTAGACCATATCTTCAATTTGAATGTGAGTATTTTTCCCTTGAAAACCATAAGTCTTACATTAACTAATGTAAGATACTTCAAGCTCGAAAATTAGACAACGTAACCATCTAATTGCGCCTATGAAGTAATTCGTTCCACACAAGCACTTGGAATAGTAAGTAAACTCTATGGAGGTTAACGAAGTGCACTTTTGTTAATACGTGTAAGAAACCTAGTGTGTAGAATGGATGTGCCAACTGACTATAGTATACTCTTGTTCTGCACACTTGTTGTTCCCCGCACTTTTCTGAATAAGTCATTTTTAAACTCCAGTTTAAAAAACAAAACTTTTATAAAACTGTCAAATTTAACTTGGCTTAGTTCATGTGCCTACTCATAAAGTTTGATGGAAACCCACTTTTTCCTGTACGATAAGGGTAATATTTACGCATTCTTCAATACCATAGATATGACAAATTAGTTTAACAAAATGCGATTTTAGGTTTTTAATCGATTTCATTGTGTAAATAAGGAATATAGGATTTTAAAAATATCTACTTCTAACTTTGAATTTCTATTTATTTTAATGCTGTACCTGTTGTACCCGAAGAAGATTAAACTATGGGTAACTTACAGGAACTGTTTATAGACCGTCATTATACATATGTCCTTATTGTATAACTATTAATTCATTAGATAATATATTTATATTTTTTTCATCATAAACTTTCAAGTGACCTATTGATTATTATTATACGATTTACTATTTTTAAGTAATTCCCAATCTACTAATTACAGTCTCCCACACTCATAGCCACTTTGGCATGATCCTGTACAGCCGTTGTTTTTTTATTTTATGGTGTGATGTGGTCTGGTTCTCTCATTACAAACTACGTATGTCTGAAATATATCATTCACCGAGCGGAAGCTGAGATTGTTTTCTGGACTCAACGGGCAGGGATGAGTGAAAAGGGCCAATAAAAATTCATAGTTGACACAAGGCTAGTAGTGCTGTTTTGACGTGTCATTGGTTTAACACAATAATAAGGTCATATAATTCGGTATTGGTGCTCGCTATTGGATTTTTCGACTTTTATTAATATTCGATATCTTGAATTGAATTTCAATTTCCTTACAAGTTTCTCCATGATCACTTAACAGAAATAACATTTTCAAATATCATAATTACTTCATACATCTTATTTTTTTCGGATTACTTCATAAATCACTCATCATTATTTTTATAAACACTTTAGAATTTGTGATATAAATATTTAAAACATCACCATTTTATATAGTTTAATTTCATTTTTAACCGTAAAATGTATACGTTAGTAAAGAGACTTTAAGACATAATAATCAAAACTAAAACTTTTTCATTCTCTATTGCATTTATTATAAATAGTTCATGATTTTATGATTCAGGTTTATTTTATGAACCAAATGGACAACATTACTGGAGATTCTCGATATTTATTTTTTTAATATATCGTATTACCCTAAATTTGTTATGCCTGAAACTATTTATCCTCCTATTTTTAACTTAATCTTATAATAAACTAACAGGTTAATTTTTAATTAGCCTAAACAGTAGTTAGGTTTTCAGTTGAGCTTAATCTACCCAACAAGCACTATTGAAATTGATATTGATCGTTGATAAATACCGTCAACTGCCTGAAATTTTTTAATACAAAAGAGGTATATGGTAGCCATAAGTTAAGATCTTTCACGATTTCTTAATCTTGTAAAAGTCTCAAGATTGGAAACATGGTGTCAGTTGATTGTAATCTTAATACAATTCGACAAGAGGAATGTTTAATCAAAACAACTTTAGATTTCTTGAGTAATGTTTCCCGATGTATATGAGTCATATTCATCATTTAAACACTTAAAAAGTTACGTTGAATTAGTTATTGCTGTTGCGTCAACGTTGACACGGTACAAACTTTAATTTCTAATCAAGATTTTGATTTTGCAATAGCCTACTAGTTTAATACGGAGGTGATTGTATATTTTCTGACATCATTTTTTGACAAAAGTGAAAGGAGTTTTATTGTGAATAAGTTTGACGTAAGAAAATGAATTGTTAAATGCATTTAAAAACAATATTCATGTGACTGTATCTCTGTTTTATGTTTTCCTGATACGTCATGTTACTATCAATAATTGCTACCTTTAGTTAACATGTTGATTTAAAAGTACGTACAAATTATTTATAATACTAACTAGAAATCATTAATAAATATATAATATCTGCAATGAATACATGAGAGTATTACTAAAATGTCTATGGATTATAGATAGGGTCTGAAATTTTTAGAAAATAAAAGCATCAGAGTTAAATCATTGATTCGCACATTTTGTTGCACGTATTCAATGTTGACAAAATCAGTCATTGGTAGTATTTTTATTGCTGCTAAGGATTCATTGATATTACCTTGCATTTGCAAGTTGATTAATATCAGTTCGTTGAAATATATTAAAAAGCGTTTAACTAAATTGTAATACCAAGTTAAACTACTTAAGATGCACATGTCTTACTAAAAACTAAACAGTTTCATGGCTTAGCATAACGAATATTCAAGTCTTCTCAAATAATTATGTCACGACTAGACATTGCAGTTGATTAGTAAATTTTTCGTAAAAAAGAAACTTGAAGATAAGGTTTTCAGCCAAAGCTTAAAGTGAAATCCCGTGTGGTTATGATGCTTTATATGTAGCGTTCGTCTACTCAATAAATGGAAAACTGCTTGACATTGCATATATATTGTACATTGTGAAGTACATGCTCTACAAACTCACGGATGCGTATCTTATCCCATATTAACTATAGTGAAGGGACGAATTTCTCATTTGTTCATATACTTTACTTCTGGCAAGCTACTTTACATAGTCGTGTTTCGAAAGAGAACAGATGAAAAGAATACCGCTTTCATGGCTAGTGAGAATGATTTTATGTTAATTAAAACTATATTAGGGTGCGAAAAAAAGTTTAACACAAATAAATATCTTAAAGTTCACTGTAAGATGAAATGTCAAGGGCAAATAATAAAAAGGAATAAATAGTTGGTTAAGGATTCTAACTGTAAACTTTGTGAAGGAGACGGCAAAAATACCACTAGCATGTCAATTACAGAGCTAGTAGTTTCCCTGAGTTTATATTTTTGCAAATAACCTTTAATGGTATACATGAGTATGTTGAAACGAACCTTTAGGAAGATGTCATTTGAAGGCAAATTAAAAAAGCTATAATTTAGCTAAAATGCTTTTAGAATAGAAGACGCGTGAATAAGCAAATGGAAACATTCAGTTTTATTTTGTTACCCTAAAAACCATGTTTAATATTTAACAAATAAAACTTGACAATGTTTCCAAATAAGAATGATTGTTTATGATATTGAAAATCAAGTTCTCAGAATACTAAATGACAAATTTATAATACCATAATGCCTTTCGTTAGGCTACAAGTTTTAAACACATACAAACTTTTGTTGGCAATAGAAAACAGAAATTGTTCTGTATGTCCTATTGTGTGTTTGATGTTTTTTTGTTAGAATTTTCAATTTAATTGCTATTTACTGTTTTTGAACATAGCGTTTTCTCGTCGAAACCTGATTTATTTCATTTTTTTACTATAAACACACAAATTTATGTAAAATACACTTTAGATTGATAGTAAAGGTGAAAATCACAGGGACATTGAACATGTTCCAACCGAAATTAAGCCTAACACTGTTTCCAGAATACGTTCGAACAAGTGATTATAAAACAAAGTATCTTTTCTGCTTTCATTGTCGATTACAAAAACAAAATAAAATGAACAAATACAACAGGCCTAAAATAAATTTATTACAGCTAAATTATTTTTATTCAAATGAATAATAATAGTATATGTATTACTCAGCTAACCTTTCTATCACATTAAATTCTTCCCATAGTCAATATAAACTCGTCTTTTTTAACACTCGGTTTTATTTTTACTTTACTCATAAAAAATGATCCTATTTAACATATACTTCAAATGGTTAGGGTTATAATAACTAAATAAATCGCAGTTCTTATATGAATGCATACCCGTTGTTATATTTCCTATTTTTACTGGGGTAGTGAACTAAATAAAAAAACGCAGATTATGCCTTAACATTGGAATCTTTATTTCCATTGTTTAACATATTGCATGTCTTAAAACTATATAAAGTAATTAAGACTGGTATATTTAATAAAGCAACTACAAATCTTCGATTTCGAATTGAAATCAAACTACAAATTATTTTTTCTACTGTTCATTTAGAAGTTGTCTTACCCAAAACATCACTTTAACTACTAGCGCAATCTGTAGGTAGAAATATTCACCAAATAGTTAGGAAATTTAATTCTCTGAGGCTATCCGTTTATGATGTAATTTTTACCACAAATAAATTTAATGTCACTTTACAATAGACTTTCGAAAAAGTTACGTACAGGTAATTCACAAATACTTAGCTACAAAAGCAAGAATACTAAACACCAACATTAAAGAATGTATTCAAACTGATTTTCAGCAATAAATAGGTTTAATTAGATGATCTCAAACTTTTCATTCTACATATTTTTAGTAAGAGATCAAAAACGTATATCAAGTTTACTAAATTTGTATTAAGGAATTCAGAAATCCCAATCATTCTGCATTATGATAGTCATATTAACTGAATAAGTTGATGAGCAGGAGATATTCATGACGTCACAAAATTCCGCCATTTATTACTGCTAGCATATGATGATGATGATGATGATGATGATGATGATGATGATGATGATGATGATGATGATGATGATGATGATGATGATGATGATGATGATGATGATGATGATGATGATGATGATGATGATGATGATGATGATGATGATGATGATGATGATGATGATGATGATGATGATGATGATGATGATGATGATGATGATGATGATGATGATGATGATGATGATGATGATGATGATGATGATGATGATGATGATGATGATGATGATGATGATGATGATGATGATGATGATGATGATGATGATGATGATGATGATGATGATGATGATGATGATGATGATGATGATGATGATGATGATGATGATGATGATGATGATGATGATGATGATGATGATGATGATGATGATGATGATGATGATGATGATGATGATGATGATGATGATGATGATGATGATGATGATGATGATGATGATGATGATGATGATGATGATGATGATGATGATGATGATGATGATGATGATGATGATGATGATGATGATGATGATGATGATGATGATGATGATGATGATGATGATGATGATGATGATGATGATGATGATGATGATGATGATGATGATGATGATGATGATGATGATGATGATGATGATGATGATGATGATGATGATGATGATGATGATGATGATGATGATGATGATGATGATGATGATGATGATGATGATGATGATGATGATGATGATGATGATGATGATGATGATGATGATGATGATGATGATGATGATGATGATGATGATGATGATGATGATGATGATGATGATGATGATGATGATGATGATGATGATGATGATGATGATGATGATGATGATGATGATGATGATGATGATGATGATGATGATGATGATGATGATGATGATGATGATGATGATGATGATGATGATGATGATGATGATGATGATGATGATGATGATGATGATGATGATGATGATGATGATGATGATGACAGGCACAATAAGAATGGCTCTGATTTTATGTATTAATGTTTTTCTTTAACAATGATATGACTGTTAAACTCATCATATATGTGTTTTTTTCATGTGAAATGTTTACTTTTGTGTTTTCCGCAACTCACCTTAATTGTCACTTTATTTATATTTTGACGTTTGTTTACTTAATTATTTGATGTAGTTTAAAGAAACAAAATGAATGTTCACTGCTGATTAGCCTTTTTGACAATAATGTACTTTCATAGTGTGCAAGGTCTGGCCGCTTTGAAGCTGTCTTCACAATTATGACACTGTCAGCATTAAATATAATAGAAAGCAGTTTTTATCTGCTGAGTTTGCGTTGTTGAAGAGTCGTAGTAATCATGAGTCAAATACTTGATTGGATGGTATCATGGGAATAAAACAATGAACTAGCCGTAAACGTGTGACTCTATAGTTTACTTATAAAAATAGGATAAATAAAAAATAAAGAATAATTGGCATTGTACACGGTTGAACATAAACAATTAAAATAGTTGTTTATAATGTTCAGCAGGATTAATTGATACGCCAATTACGAATGGATCACTTGAGAAGTGAGACACTATATTTTTCTCCATCACAAGATTACATGCTATCAATAAAATATCAATTTTCGTCTTATTTCTTGGGTTCTCTTCAGCTGCTTACAATTTAATCAGTAAGAAGAAGAACTGCCGTCTTTTTCTTTACGACTGAAAAATTCACATTCTTCATATTTTCATTAGTTTTTCCTGGGCTTTGCTCATTTTAATTCTCTAGTCAATCATTTTTAGTCCTTGTTATTACGCACTTATAGTGTCAATCTTTTTGTTAACCTGTCTTCATGGGGTGTATAAAATATCCGGAACATTGTTTATACAAATATTCGTCAAGATTAGAACGAATAATTTGACAGAAATTATTTCGAATATAATTTTCACATATAGTGAATCCTTATTTGTTGTTGTTTAACGTTGCTCCTTCAAATGAATTAATTTTCCATAGTACTTGATTTTATGAGTTTAAGGATGCAGTTTGATACAATGATAAATCACTGACAATGGTAATTTTAGTATTTAAAATAAGATGATCTTAGCAAAAATACTGCCGAAAATCTGGAACTACTAGGCGCCTGTTTCATCCTAGCATGGGACTACTCAGCAATGAATATCCATGCCCCAGCATGTGGGAATCAAGCACAGAATCCTCCATTCAACGCATGAATCACTAACCTGTAGAGCATGTAGTAGTCCTGTGTTCGGTTCCTGTGTGTGGGATCGTGAATCGCACTTCTGAGAAGTCTAATGCTAGGACGAAATTCCTGTCCAGTGATTCCTTGTTTTCACTTGTGTTTTCGCAAATATCAACTCCTGATTCCAACTAATAAAAACTTTGAAATTCCCACTAATTCCCTATACTGACAATAATGGTGGTTGTTTGTCGAGACAATCTATTGATGTTCACTGTTTTCTTTTTAGAAACAGTAAGACGATAACTGTAAAATTAATTAATGAACATATAGACTTCGGCAAAAATCATTTTGCAACATCGTCCACAGCAAAGTATTACTAAATATAACTAGTCGAAAGGTTTTTATTATTAGATGTATCTCAAGGCGGTATTATATAAGTTGATCTGTCTAATTCCAATATTATTTCAATACTGTATTGTAAAGACAAGGTTCATATGAACTATACAATATATTGGGACAAGATGTAGAGAAATGGCTGATGTTCTAAATGCGGCTCACGAAGTTTGTAGATAAGTAGTGTCCTCTATATCTGACTCCAATAAATAGTATCCTGTTAACTGAGTATTTAATTCAGGCTAAATTTCCTAGTAGAATTATGAATTTACTCGAGATTATTCAAAAGCCTAAACATCAGAGATAGTTTATTGTTAAAGATTGGTAAAATTTGCAAGCGTACAGGAAGCAAGCACACAGGGAAAACAAGAGTGTGTGTGTATGTGTGCGTTTTAAAAATTCATATATATTTATGAGTGTTAATCAAGTATGGATAATTTATTGGTTGTCTGTGTATTACAACCAATGGGAGAATAGATTAAGGATTGATGTGCAGATATCTGCTCAATCATACTCACACAGAAATTTACATGGTGGATCAAGTGTCTAAATTACAGTGAGCAGATAAATAAAACAATAGTTGAATGTGCCTACTACAAAGGCATATCAAACAACGTAATCACAGATTTACTTGCTAAGAATTCTATGTATCAAAACAGGACCAGTTGAAAGATGGGCTTTTGTAATCTGTTCTTATTGAGCCACTTGAATTTATCTAGCTTTCCAGCAATTTCGGTGCTTATTCAGCCCTCCTAACCTACAAAACACGATTAGTTCTCCGCATTTGAGTTTCCTTATATATTTAAGTTGGTAAATAGACCTGTTCATCTTAAGTGAAAAGTAGTAACCCGACAAGTTAAGTTTAATTTTTACGAATCCTGTTTGACAAACCACAAATTTTTCAGGCAGTTGTACAGCATTACATTCTAATAAACTTCAACCGAATTTCTCAGGTCTTTTTCGACGTAATAGATCAAGTCTAAAGACTTGTCGTGAAAATTCGAATAAATTAATCAAACTCCATATTTATGTATCATCTGTATCAACAGAGATGTCTTGAGAATTACGTGAAATTCTTGAATATCTATGGTACTGTCGTAACAATGAAAGAAATCGTAAGGCACAAGCTAAGAAAATCTTGTGGTGACGATATTCATGTTAGTTTGTTTCCTATCAGCCTCAACAAATATGTGACTAATAAATCTTCTGTCGTACTTTCTGATGACAAACGGTAGGAACTTTCATCTCAATTTAATTCTCCTGTGTGTATGACACGATTGCCTGATCAGTTAATCAATCTCTAATCTGAGAATCTCTGTGACCAAATAAGTGTAACTGTCATGAAGTCTTTGGACAACTAATGGTAATGTTAAAATAAGTTAGTGGATAAAGTTAATTAATTCCTAGGTTTCATAGGACTCCCTGTAATTTCACAAACTACTTACGCAAATCACTGTCTGATAATTTGTGTTCTTTTTATTCTTAAAGTAAACAACATTTTTAAATATTTCTTCCACAAATTACTGTGTTATTACCTCCAAATCAACTATAAAGATTAAATTCAATATTTGAAATGTTTGGTTATTTCTGGAAACTGTCAAATAATTCAGTATTCCTCCCTGTCGTGATAGACTAGACAATGGAAAACTGACTGTCAGTACGGCTGTACAGTTTAAACAAATTATATAGTCTAATAATGTGTGGTTCGTTTAACCATCTCTATCATTAACGACTGAATGAGTTTTTATGGTAATGTCAGTTACACAGAATTTCAACCAAACATTTACTTCAAGAATTCGCTTTTTAGCATTCAGTGAGATCCGTCGGAAGTCGATTGAACAGATTATTTACGTAAACATAACCTTTGGGTATTATTCCAGCTACTTTTATCGTCAAAGTGATTCTTTTCAGTTCTAGTCAATAAAGACGCACTTCTAAAGAGATATTTTGCGATTCTGATCCACAAATGAACATATACCCGGGACAATTGACTGAAAACTATGGTCTACATTACTAAGAACTTACGCAGTGAAACAAGACTTATCTCACTATAACAAAAAAATCGTTTTTTTTTTGAGATACTGAAATATAAACAAATACTCATCTCGTTTTACCTCTACATCTGTTTCCCAGTTTCAGTGTGTGTTTTGAATCACACGTCAAAACAACAGAAAGGTGAGTTATCGTTCATCTAACCCCAAAAGGTCAACATGATATTAACATTAAAATTTACCGTCATCTGCATGATGGCAAACACGATGCTGAAATCCCGAAATTATTAATTAGGTAATGGCTCTGTTATGTCCCGACAGGAATAATGAATGGTAACTTTTGGGATCCATTTATGGACCAATACTAAACATATATTTCTATTGTATAATCTATTAATAACTAAACTATGCATATTCATATTTCTTTTATTATAAGCTTTATTTTGACCTATAAACTATTATTATACGTTTTGCCATTCTTCAGTTATACCCAGTATATTAATTACTACCTCCCTCATTCACAGCCACATCTAGTTAATTCTTGTACAAATGTTGTTTCATATTTTATTGGTACGTTTTGGCTTGTTTGATTGATATATAAACTTAGCATGCTTGAAATATAACGATTCATACCTCAGAGGCTCGGATTGGTGTTCTGGACTTAACTGGCTGGGCTAGGCGGAAAGCAGGACCAATTAGAACTCTAGGCTGCTCATGTGGGTTTACGCGCCATTGGCCTGGTCGATAAGTCACTGCTCTCTAATCGGCGGTCACAAGTTATAACAATTGGCGACGGGGATGGAACTTCTAAAGTTTTACCAAACCCATAGTTATCGAAGGTCTTGGACCGGATGTATCCATTCAAAGTCGAGCTGTTATTCTTTCGATGACTAGATTACCGCAGTTTTTCATCATTTCATTTTGTCTATGCGACTACTAACTCATTTTATTGGGTCTGATTTGAGCCTTGCTCATCTCAACCATATGAATAAGTCTCTTTTGAAATTGTTGTTATATTTTCTCATAAGCCTTTTTCTGTATCCATATTCTCTATAGAATTTTGACATTTATCATCAACCACATGAATATCACCTATAAGCATTTTTTCATACTTATCGTTCTTTGTATAAAATGTTAGTGATGAGTACTTCTCTAATAAAGAGCATGTGAACCAATTTGTTGCTAAATAATTAGCACTATTATTTTGAGAGGATAAGCAAATGAATATAATCTAAGGAGTAAATAAATTCGAGTTCTTCTGTTTTGGTCGTTGTTCTTCCTTCATTTAAGTTTAAAGGCGCAAACTTTATATGAAAACAAACTTAGTTGGACAATACTGTTGGTGAAAACTTAACTGTGCTTCGATAAATTGACGTGGCGAAGTCAAACCGAGACACCGAATTGTTTCATGTCATCGCGCAGCTCATGCTTATTCAAGTGGATTCCTTTATATTTAATTTCATTTTAAGCAGGAATTCTCCAGGTATATTTTGGTTTAATTTTTTTAAGGACAATAAATTTAAATTCACTTGACACCTAGTATTGACACGAAGAATGATAATTAGAAATTCGGTGGTAAATTATCTGCTTGAATGCATACTAGAATTCATAAAAAGGTAAATTATTCACTAAACCATCCAGACGCTCCAGAAAACTTTCGCTTCTTATTTGATAACTGTATGCGTAACTCCCGAATAGCAGTACCCCCACTGTTGTAGATAGTTTCCTCAACAAGTCTCTACATACATATCGATTTAAATTCTTATAGTTTGTTGGTTGTATATATATAGTAGTTCACAGCTTTCTAAATAATTAGACGGTCAGTAGATTACATTAGTTTATAACCCCTGCGTCAAAAACCTACTGTTTCATGCGAAGGGAAAATTTCAATAAGCTGCAACAATGAACTATGACATGGGAATCACTTCTAGTCTACCCCAGGATTATATATATATATATATATATATATATATATATATATATATATATATATGTATATTGTAAGAGGCAACTCGAAGAATAATTGAATCGTTGTGTTTAAAACAAGGTCATAAATGTACTAACTTCATATTGAATACGGTATAAAGAGTTTATTGAAAGAGATGAAACACAAAGTCAAAAATTCCTCGCGTACGATACAATCCAATGCATATAAAAATAATTAGTAAATATTTCTCGGCTGAGTGTTAAAAATTAGGGTGTTGTTTGCTTAATTTTTTAATGGTTGTTCTTATTCCCATTTGTTTTTTACTAAACGTTTTCGTTCTGTTATTTTATTCATCATCACCGCGCTTTATAGCCAACAGAACACATACTGCAAATACCAGACAAACCATTTGAACCAATGCGAACAGAAAAACGCTAATTATGATAGCATTGAGGTGCATTTTGCTTAGATCGCTGACCTTTTTAACGCACCCCTAAAACGAAGAAGAATAATGAAATAAGAAAATAATAGTTATTCCACAGAATAAACCCTATTTCATTTGTTGTGAGACTGACTACAGAGAGAGTAAAAAGAATACTTGTTTCATTATGGTCGTCTGTTTGGAAGCCCCTATTCATATTCACCCTTTGTTAAATATTTTAGATAACACGCACGTTTGATATCTCACTGTGACTATTAGTTTATGTCTCCTCTCGTATTAATAGTGATATCATATCCAGAAAGTGGAATTTTTAGAATGAGTTGGAAAATTATACGGCTTATTGATGCTAACTTTCCTGAGTTTGTAAGGTGTTAGTGACAGTATACCAAAATCAACAACTTCATAGCTTTTACTAAAACATAATTTGTAGTAGTTGATACTGTACAACAGTTTATGTTTGATAAGAGTCGCCAACATATATAAAAGAAGCCCTGTAATTTTCTCTAGCAGTGATAATTTTTAACAGTTATTATTGCGTAGAAGAGTTATAACGAAAAATTATTAAGTTTGTAGTATATCTTAGAAAGGAACTGTTGCGTTTTAGACCACAAATTGTAAGATAAGCTACTAAAATATAGAAGCGAATGAATTCAATGATCATTTTATTCTATTATTTAAAAATATATTCCCTCGGTTGAGATTTGGATTAACCCCCATTACCACCCAATAGGTTGACAAAAACTCATTATGAAGTTTTCACAAACTTCCTACTTGTTGGGTAGCAGACAGAATGGATTTGAAAACAGTCATCTGTGTTCGAAAAAAACTTTCCTGAGAACTGAGCGCTTGATGAAATCCAATGATAACGGGACTTCCTAGGTTCCATCGAACACTAAGACTGTTATATTCACCAGAAATGTTCTACACCCTGGACTTCTGTTTAAGCTCGAACGTTTAGGCACCATCAGAAATCTATTTCTTGTCTATCAAAGACGTACGATATGAACCAGTTATAAAGTCTTTTACTGGAAAATATAAACGTCAGATTACTATTTAAAACATTACCAAGGCTCCCTTCACTTATGTTTAGGATTGTCGAGTTTCCTAGTGCGATTATAAACTGCTATACTGCATCAAGCAGATGATAGTCAAGCACACCGGTAAGTAGAGATTTGTTCTGATGTTTAAGCTGTATGAGATTTCAACACACTACTTAACTGTTCAGAGACACGGCAAAATCTTAACAGTCTAGTTTGATGCATATTCGTACAGATGACAATAGTTACAAAAATAGTTACAAATCCCCACTAGTTCTTTCCAATCATAGCAATTCATTAGTCATAGCAGACTATGACTTCAAAACCACTACCCACCATAATTTAACTTTATATAGAGATTTCAAAGCATTATGGGCGATGATAAAATTCAGAAACAATGAGGAAAGCATCCATATCACGCTTTGAAGAGTGGAATACAGATACAAATAAGAAAACTACATGAAGTTCGAACGCTTACCTTCGAAAGACACGTTGAGGTTTTATTCAAAACCGGTCCAAAAGACCGGTTTACGTACAATTACCGAAGTTCCAAGTTAGTTAGTGAAAAGCATAAAATCTTCACATTCATCTATCATACATAAGAAGGTGACTTAATTGTGACTTATGATTGGAAATTATTTAACGACCCATTACCTTCCTTTTTCACTATTAACCAACCCTACAAACGTCATATAACAGGGTTATTTCGAAAGCCAGATAAATACAAGGTTCTCCATAGAGATAACAATTCCAGGAACATGGTATAAGAATATTCGGTTCCTCCAGCTTCGACTGACCTGGGTAGAATTGACACTGCAGACATGTGGATTAGTTCTAGGAAGGGGTAGATATGTTATGAACTCATTCCCTTCAACGAAAAATACTGAAAGTTTTGGCTTGACGTGGTTTTCCTCATGTGAGTTATTGGGCTAACCGACTGTTTGGTCTTGGTCACTTAATAGTCAGTCGTATTTTTTTTACTAACGTGAACATCTCCCTGCAGAGACCTGGCAAAAATTTTTTTTAACTAATATGGCTTATGATATATCTTGAACTTTTCTCCGGAATATTATCAAATTCGTACATGATTCAGTTTTATAATTACCGTACTTTTTGACATGAACACTCAGTGTTTGCTTGTTCTTATTCTGCTATAACTTTTATTCCTCAGCCTTGTTAAATACTTAAAAATGAACCACAAATATGATAAACCAATCAAAAACATGAGGACTTTATATAAATCTACCTCTGTAAACATTATGCCATCTTTGAAACAGGATTTCGGTTGTTTAATGCCATAATCTGCTGGAGAATCCGCACCACAGCATTGTAACTAAATAAAAATGTATGGTGGGAACCGCATCTCACTTTTCGTTGAACTTCATCGAGAACTTTTCCAACACGTTCGTCCTGATAGTACTCTTTTACGAATTCGCTTAACGCATCAGTGACGTGTTTTTTGACCTATAAAAACAGTGTTTGCCAGTTAACTCTTACCTTGGGCTTTTCCACTATAGCAAATATTCCTGCTGCTATTTCGGCAACTATCAAAATCGATAAAAGAATACAGTACTACAAGGACATAATAAGTTTCCATAGTTTTCGTTACCGTCGTTAATAAACAAACATTCTTCGTGCATGCGCCAAACATCCCCAAAGCCCCCAAAACAAATAAGAAGCATCCGAGGACAATGATAAAGATAATAAGCGATTGTAATGGAGGTTCAATGTCTTTCCAGTGATTTACAACAGAATGGAGCCCAAGTGCACCAATCACAATCAGCCCGAGACCACATATCTACTTATCTTACCAAAACATAGGATATAACTTACGAATGCTCCACAATTGAAAATAACTAGCAAACATTGCAAACACTTGTACCCACAACCAAGAGCCATGTCCTCAACAGACGCGTGATAACTTACCACACTCTTAAATAATAGTTATAAGAGATAAGGTCATTTGTATACGGTAAAACAAAGCACAGACAAATGGTTCAGATGGTTCAAATGGTTGTGGACGGAATAGAAGAAGCTTTCGCTTAACAGGCTTCCGTGTCTAGTAGCAGGGGATCACCAAATCCTCCAGGCATGAACCTAGGTATGTTAACAATAAAAGAGGAAAAGAAATTGGTAAATCATAGTGTGATGCTGTCCTTTGTCCTTAAGAATAGGTCAAGTTGCCTCTTGAAGGACTCCTGAGAAGTCGCTTGGACTAGCTCGGCCGGCAGCGAATTCCAGCTTTTGACAACTCTTAAGGAGTAGAAGTTGTGTCTACATTTCGTCTTGCTATGTTGTGTTTCCAGTTTCTGGGTGTTACCCCTTAGGTTATTATTCGAACTAAGCTTAAGTAGGTGTTTAAGAGGATGTCCAGAAGTGTTAAGAATACTATAAGCCATTAATAAATCACCTCTAAGACGCCTATATTCTAGTGGGTAAAGGTCTAGTGAACGGAGGCGTTCTTCGTAAGGCTTAGATTTGAGTCCTCGAACTGATCTCGTGGCTCGCCGTTGGATACGCTCCAAAGTGACCTTGTCCTTTTGGAGTGAGGGGGGGAGTACTATGTTTCCGTACTCTAAATGGGGACGGATGAAACTATTGAAGATTGTGTGGAAAGTTCTTCCGTCAAACTGGCCAAGAATGCGCCCCAACGTTACCAGTGCAAGGTTTGCTCGGAAGGCATTTTTGTCACAGTTAGCGTAAGACCTTAAATCATGGGGCACCAGGACTCCTAAATCTTTTTCGACTTGGGATACTACTAGAGAGGAGTTTCCTAAGTTGTAACTGTAGTTTGCGACATGTCGCAGATGGACTACTTTACACTTTGAAGTGTTAAAGGTAAGTCCGTTATCGTCTGCCCAACTTTGAAGTCGCGTCAGATCCTCCTGAAGTGCCTGTGTATCGTCTTGGTTGCGTACCTCTCTCCAAAGTTTCACGTCGTCGGCAAAAAGTAATAAGTCTGACGTTACCTGTTGAGGAAGATCATTTATGTAGATCAAGAAGAGAAGAGGCCCTAGTACTGAGCCCTGGGGGACCCCACTAGGACATTCCATAGCCTGAGATAAGGTGAAATTAACCCTAACCTTAAAGTGTCGATTTTTTAGGTATGAAGTAAGCCTAGTTGTTTGAGCTTGTTGATAAGACACAAGTGGTTAACCTTATCAAAAGCTTTTGAGAAATCAAGGTAAATGACATCAACCTTTCCCTTGCAATCGAGGATGCTTGTCCATCTGTCCACCGCAGTCAGCAGGTTGGTTATACAAGAGTAACCCTTCCTGAAACCATGCTGTTGTGGTGAGAAGAAATTTAAGGACAGTAGATAGTCATTTAAACCGTCGCATATCAGGGACTCCATGAGTTTTGAAGGTAATGACAGAAGAGCCACCGGCCGATAACTTGAAGGTTCATTGCGTCGACCACCTTTGAAAATTGGTGTGATGTGAGCCAACTTCCAATTTCCCGGTAATTTGCCTCGGCTAAGCGAGTGTGAAAACATCACGCTAAGCGGCGTTGCCAGGATTGAGGCTGCCTCCCTCAGTATGGCAGGATGAACCGTATCCGGGCCAGGAGAAGTGTCAAGTCTTAAGTGCTGCAGTTTCCGGAACACCAAGTCAGCGCTTAGGTCCACTTCAGAAAGTCCTGTGGAATTGCAGATGAAACTGTCGTCAATAAAGTTGATGTCAGCCGGTTGAAATGTTTGGGAGTAATGTGCCGCCAGAAGGTTAGCGGCGTCGCCATCGTTGTTGGTCGGGCCGTTAAGACCTAGCAGTTGAGAAACTCCTGTTTTGGCTTGACGAAGAGAGGCTGCATAACGGAACAGGCTTCTAGGGTTAGAGGCGAATTTGTCCATAAGCTTTGTTTGGTACTGAAGCCTGTCTTCTCTTATAGCCTTCGTGCATATGTTCCTCATATGTTTATATTACCTATACGCTCCATCGTTATTAGTTCGTTTGTATTCCGCCCAACAGTGCCTTTTGCGGCTTAGCAGGCGAAGGGTACGGTTCTTGATTACTGTAGGTGGCTTGAAACTTTTGGGAACCGTTTGAGGAACTGAATGGTCTGTAGCACATAAGAGCGTGTGCAGTAAGAAGTCCCAATGACCATCCACATCGAGTTGAAGGTGAACATCCCAAACCACCTGTTGTAGATAGTCATGTAGAGCTGGCACATTCAGCCGTTTAAAATTCCAACGCAAATTATTGTTGGGATACCTTAGCTTAGTTTTAATGACAAAACTGAAGGCTATGACGGCATGATCGCTCTTTCCCAGAGGAGCCAGGATTGAGAGGTTGTCGACTAGGAATTCTTCGTTAGTGAATATGTAGAACTATGGTCTACTATGATATTAGTACTGCTCTAATAATAGACCTAATCCTAAATTTGTAGATTCGTCATGATATAACTGGCTAATCTATAAGATCTTACGTGGAAGTCACACCATCGACTACACTAACTCACTGTATCGTATCAATTACCAATACATGCTGTAGAACAAGGTTAGGCTAGAGAAAGAACAATATATTTAATATGAATAGAAGATATAAGGTAACATTCAGCAGAGGCCACGCCTGCATGGCCGAGCCATGCCACTCGATCAACTCCAGTCCATTCAATTTATTCTTCGCGCCTTCTCCATCGTTAGGTATTTATCCGCGTTAAATATTGAATATCTATTTTCTGAGTAGTCTCGTGTTCAGCTTTGTGGATTGTGCGGTTATTGTTCAATGCCACTACACTACTCTCCCACCAGAATCAACGTGATGTCGGTTCGATACCAAATTGGATGGGATCGTCGTGCGCCGAAGGTTACCAAGACTAGGAAGAATCCCCCGGGTAATGATAAGCTGAAAGATAAATCAAAAAGAAGGCGGCAGCATCTGGTCGGGAAATACATGTAATAATTTTTTAAAAAATCTGCCTCCATGCTTAACACACTTAAAATGACAATTTGGGTGAAGATTATTTGAGCTATAAAAAATGGGATTACAATAATAATAATAATAATAATAATAATAATAATAAAACGATGCGTGTTAATAGCCGTTGGTTAATAACTTAACGTATAGGTAGTATTTTGTGTTTAGAAATATTAAAGTGATGAATATTGTAGAAATGTTAATATTGGTATTAATTTTGGTTTAAATTATGAAATCAAATAACGATTATGCCGGTAAGTTGTCCATATGAGTTGAATTCCAATTGCATCTGTATTAGTAGGCTAACTGAAGGAACAAAAGTATACCGTGAAGAAGAATTCCAACTAGTGTTCCAGTTAGTTTGATACGGTTTATTTAGTTACGGGGAGATTTTCTCAACCTCATTTTTGCTTGACCGTGATAGAATTTAGTAATACTACTAATACACATGAATGGCTATCAAAATAAAATTTAAATACTTGAGTGATAATTATATGGATTTTGGACAGATAGCTAGGAAAAAACCGTTAAACATGAGTGTGTTCGTAAGAGATGCTCCAGACTCAATGTTCTGATCTGCAGCAGACTATTTATTTATATTTATACTTGCCGGCTGATTGGGCATACAAGTTAGTTGCAAGTATGCAGTTTAACATAAGGCGGAATACGATTTAATTGAGATATAGTGGTTATAAGTTATTAAAATCTGTTAGGCCTGTGCCATATTACGAAGTGATGTGGTGCTGCAAGATGTATTTAGCTAAATAAGTTTTTACAAGATGATCAATAGTGAGTGATGCTCATGTGATTATCAGAGAGAACATAAGTTGTAACCAGGGGGAGTACACTCACAACTCATGTCTGTGATAATGGCTTGAACCTTAGTCAGTGTTGGGGTAAATTCGACATTGATGTTTTGAGTTTACAGGAGGTTTGCTCGACTGCTTATACTGATTATTTGCATGCATGATTGTGTCACTAAACCATCAATTAGACTGACAAGGTTTTGAGATATTTACTGAATGAGCAACTGATAGAGAAACATACTGTAATCATCTGTGATGGATGAAGATACCAAGAAAACAACACCATTTAATGGTAATTATAAGTCAATTTGTTGACCGATTTCGTTAATAGTTTCATTAATTTTATCAGTCATATTACGTGATTGTCAAGTTATGACAATGCTTTATGACGATATCCTGAAACTATTAAATTTAACTAGTTATAGTGTTGATTGAGGATTAGTCAGTGGAAAAATAGGTATTGTTGCTTTAGATGATTCGAAATCATCAGAAATTTATAACGTTAAAGAATCCGAGACGCCTAATTTAATTATAAATTTTAATTCAGAAATATTCGTTTAGTGTTAATTCTAGTAGGCTACGGAGTTTTGATTTTAAATGTTTGTTTAGCCAACAGCTACCTGGGGATTCAGTTATTTGACTATGTTCGCATTTTAGGCTGCTAATATGATAAATCAATCCATAAACCCAAATACGATTAGCAACAACGACTATGATGGGTTTATTGATAAATGTTAAAGGCGATCCAGATGATTTCTAAATTTAGAAGACATGGAGATATAGTGTAACGTATGTATGGGCCAGGTTAACATGCAGGTTGTTGACGTATATGACGATTTAAAAATAATGAACATGACCAGAAAATAATTTTAAAGTTTAGACTGCTTGTGAAACTTCAGGCAGGAATATGATGCGTTATAAACATTCCATAAGAAGCTACTGCATTTAGCCTAGGGACATTTACAAATATTTGTCAAAAGCAACTGGAAAATATATACATGTTAGGTACAAAAAAAATCATCCAGTAAAATAGTTGAACTCGCCTGGGTTATTTTTGAAAATTAGATTATTCAGTGGACGACATATATAACGCCATTCGTGAGGAGTAGTAATGATCCAAAATTATCCAGAATAAAACATACAGTATGGCAATTAATTCCAGGGTGCTTGATGCTGT